TAGATGGCAAATCTACGACACCAGGCAACTCTCCTAGTATAGCCTGTAAGCTCTCATCAGCAGTGACCCAGCTCATGATTCTGTGCATCATAAACACTTATTTCTACTAGTCCAGATTCTTTTGGGATGAGACGGATTGACTTTTGATGGCACAGCTCAATGACTGTCAGTAATCTCTTGGCAAGTCCCTTAGTCTTTCTTAAAAAAGCAGAGCTGCTATACAGGCACCACTTGCTTGGCTCATCACATTCAGGCTCTGCGTGGAGCAGAGTTAATTCCTTTGTACAGAATAGCTGATATATTTATCCTGGCACTTGACTTTTTCCTCAGGAGGTACCACCAGAGTTGTGGCTGCTTTAAAAACCAGAGCTAATTCCAAACACACAGAAGGAAAAAGGCTAGGCTGGCAAGATTTACTCTATCCAGGACTCTCATCATCTGTGCTTGCTCCCTCTTTTCTAGGTTCGTAACAGTGGTTTCAGGTCGACCTTGCAGCTTATTCTGAAAGTTCTTCTTCTCCCAGGCAAAAAAAGGGTTGGGTAGAGGAAGAGGGTAGTGGGGACTCCAGCAATAATTTGTTTAGTGAATGCTTCTTATGTTAGTTATTAAGATATCAGTTCAGCTGCTTAAACACAGGTATCTTGCATCATTTCAGGTCTCCCATCATGTTTGAGATATCCACAGAGAACTAATGGGTTTCTCCTGGACAAGCAGCTGTAGACCAGTCTGCACAGTCAAAAAATTTCAAATGACAAAAAATACTTATGTCTTGGCAAATAGAGTCTTCAATGGCTTTGGGCAGGTAACAGCCTCACTGTGCCACAACTGGCAAACAATTAATGCAGGTCACAGAACAAAACTGTCTGCAATAATATGATCCAAGTTTATTTCTTAGCTATTAACACTTATTGAGGAGGGGTTTGGGTTTGGTTTTTGTTTTTGTTATAATAGAATTAAAAAGAATCATAACTGCTACAACACATGTTCCTTTACGCTGTGCTCATCACTATACCAGGAGATCCTTCAACGTCCATGACAAAAAACCTCTTCTCTCCCTCCGAATTCATTTTAGATTAAGCCATTAGATCTCTCAAAGTCGCAGTTTAATGTAGGGACTTTAGGTCATCTCAGAAGTTACCCTTTTCCAAGAACAGTTTTAATCTTGTATAGCACTCGAATATACTTCTTATAATTATGTTTCACATGTTACTGCAGCTATATTTCAAATTTTACGTATGTAAGAAAATGCTATATTATTTTAATAGTGATGGTAGAATAAAAATCTATTCAAAATTCACCTTTCTGGAAGCACACTCAAATATCCAAGAACACTATTAGACTTGCTCAGCATAAAGTTTCAAACTGCTAATGGGTTTTAAATTGATGTCATAATGCTGCAATTTAAATACATGATGTTCATTAATTTTACCAGAACTCTCTGTAGAGTAGGAGTGGTACAAAAGAGGGAGGAAGGTTATACTTTTTTATATCTAGTTCTTTCTATCTGCTTGCCTGTTCTTGATACACAAGAAGAATCATCACATCAGCTTAGGGCCAAGGGACTGCAAAGTTTACCCAAACAACAATAGGTTTCAATTAGGCAACTGCTGTGGTATTATATCAAAATAATACTATGAAAAAATACCAAGAATAAGATAAAAATAGCTTCACAAAATAGGCAGGGGGTATTTCTTAAAGACAGATTTCATGGGAACTGTCACCAAAATCTGAAGATAAAATGTAGAGGAAATAACGGACAGAAAAGACTATATGGTCTTCTTATCCATACACCTCCTTTTCATTGTAAGGTCAAAATTCATGTAGCTGGGTGAGAGAGCAACACTGCCAAACAGGCAGCCAGAGTCTCTCTCAGATCTCAGGGAGTCCTTTCAGAAGTGGGTGTTGGAAGGGGAGAAGCGATCACCCTGGGGAAGGGATCCTCTTGTATTGAGGGGAGGGTGAGGGACTGGATGCAAATATTCTAGGTGAAGAATCATCTGTTTCAGAAATATCTCGTCAAAAAATTAAAATGTGCCTAGACTTAACAGGCCAGTATGGTACAACACATAACATGTATTTATACTTCAAATATACTATGTTTACTGTACATAAAGTCAGTTTTTCCAAAGCTGTTGCTATAGCTACAAATCAAGGAAACCATAGCAACAACACTGTATTATGCACAGCCTTAATTAGAGATTAAGTTATGTCTCTCTTCACAGTTTCTATTAAATACTCCCATATAATCTAGTTATAGTCATTTTAAAACATTTTCAGACTTTTTTGTAATAAAAAATTCCCTAGTATTATACTGTCAAGTCAAATATACATCTGAAATATGCCTCTACTGCATTATTTTGATCATACCCAATAATATACATTTCACTAGTTTCTACTTGAGATAAAAATGAATGTTTGTATCACCACATCTCCTGAACTTCTCTAATACGAAGCACTGATCCCTTCAGCCTTATCTACCAAGTAACTGATTTTAAAACATCTCTTAAGGTTTCCAAGTCCCATCCCGTTCAGCTTTACCCAAAGGAAAGGAACTCCTCCTATCTTCACTTGTTAATCCCAGGAGAAAGGGCTGTTCTTCCTTTTTCTTCAGAAAGTAAGTATGCAAGGGAGGGATGCGAAAGGAAGAGTAGTAGCGCATCTGGATTTTCTAGCTTCCCTGTCATTTCAAATGACTGACTGGGTTGGTGCTAAATTACTCTGGTTTTTTGGCCGTATATACGTACTATTTTAGTAATGCATTGAGAGGTTTGGACTAGAAGGCCTCTGAGATGCTGTACGCAGCCAGGCTTCCCTGTCTCAGGGACGAGACTGAGGGAAACAGGAAAAGGAGAACAGAGAACGGTAAAGAAAGAAGGACAAGGATGGTAGAAGCGGCTGACAAACAGAAGGGAATCCTATCGGACAGCAGGAGAGACATTGGACCCAGCGGGGTGACAGCCTTCCAAGGAGATCATAGAAGACCATGAACATATTCAAAAGGTGTGCGTATAGTCTCTCAATAAAAGAGAAGGCCATAATTTATATATTTAAAAACTTTCTCTCCTTTCTTCTGTTCCATCTTACAATCTTCTGATAATTCATTACGGTATAATTTTATCACTTTTTGGATCTTACTATTGACGAGATGGCAGGTCTCCCAATTTGCAAAAGTGAGTGTGTGTAAGAAATATAAGCCATGTAAAAGCTTTTCACATAGGCAGCACAGTAAAACTTCCCTCAAAAAGGGAATAATTAAATCAGAATATAGTGCTTTCTCTATTATTAAGGCATGTTCAGTTTTTTCGTTATTATTTTAATTAGCAAATATTAATGTAATCTGCAAATACAAGGGGAAAAATTAAAGTTACTAAGTTTAAGGAGTCCTTCGTGACTTAAGCTAAATTGAGACAAACGTCTTGCTGATCAATACTGGCCACCAACTTTCAGGACATTCATTTCCATTTACTGTTAGAACTTCCAAGTGTGTTATCAAATTTAAGAATGAATTAAGGCTCCCACAAGCTACATCTAGCCTCTGATGAAGGCAGTAGTGAGTAAAAAGAGATTAGCATGCTCCTCTCCTCTCCAGTTATCAGTTAGGCTGATAGTGATCAAGTGACCACGGCAGTACTACCTCGTTCCAACTCCCTGCCTGGCACAGTGGCAATCGTGGGACCCAGGGACATGCAGAACAAACTGCTCTTCCATTTTCAGGGGGTTCCTGGCCCTTTCATATTTAAGATATGCTGGACAGAGCCCCGTGAACTCAATAGCAGAACTCCCATTCATTTCACTGGGATTGGATTCACATCCTGACTCAGCTTTATTTTCTGGCGCTTGTCTTCTCTCTGCTCTATAGATAAAATACTCTGGCCTCCAGCGTGCTCAGTGCTGCATCTTACGTGGACATAAATTAGAAGATGCAGAGGTTTAAAAGAAGTAAAAACCACAATTCTTTCTCATTTTGATTTTCATTTTCAACACACTAATGGTAAAACAATAAATGACTTGTTCAATACATTCATAGGGCTGGCTACCATGAAGTGGTAAAATGCTTTCATTCGCTATAAAAGCTATATTTGAATGCATTCCATATATGAATATAATAATTGTTATTTAAAAAAAAAAAGAATAATACTGGTACGTAGGACTTTTAATATTTATCATGATTGACAGTGATATAACGAACCAGGAATAACTTTTAGAAAGAGTTACATTTTTTGTGTCTGCGTATTTCTTTTCCGAGTTCGCAGCTGTGTTAAGCGGCAAACACAGAGAAAGGAAGATGGGGGAAGGGAATCACCACCATCACCACTAAAACCCAACGTCACCAGGTATTTTGCCTGCTGAGATAGTTTAAACCAGGAATTCCTGTAAAATGTTCTTTTACCAAACTAAAAGTAAGTATTTTGCAAGGTGTCTACGGGCCAAAGCACTTTAAAATACAGACTTGAAACACACACCTGGCCTTCAAGTAACTATCAAGTGTTAATGTAATACTTTATAAAAATCCAATAAAACCTCTAGCTACATACCTTCTCTACGTTCATACGTTCTTTTTCATAAGTCATTCTCTTCTATGCACACAGAAACACAGATAAACTAGCTCTTACTTAGCTATGCTAGACAAAATTAAAAATTTTTAGGACTTCTATCAGAAACACACCCAAGAAAATTTCCTTTTGAATTTGAGGTACTGAAGGCCTGAAATTAATTTGAAAAATTCTCTCACTTGTATAAATGTTAATCTTCACTGTAACCAAGCATTATTTTGAGACCAGTCCACTATTCTATCTACTTCAGGCATTACAGAAATTAAAGGAATTCAGTGGTCGTTTAAATGGTCACATGCTGCTAAAAAATATTTTACGCAGAAACTTGTTTGCTTTGCTCAGAAAATGCTTGCTTTAGTTTTTCCACTGGACAGCTATGTGGGATTAGAGAGAGAAAGACAGGTCTGCTGGTCCTTTTTGCTGCACTGTTTTGATACGAGGTCTTACCTCTTGCGTTTTCACATTTATATATCCATAGTGAGTTCTCATAGGCCGCCTATGACCATTAGAAAACGGTATCCACTTGACACTGGTTTGTCCAAAGCAGTTGAGGATCAAAGGGAAATTAACTTCATTTGTGAGACGAACGATAATCAGACAGAGGAATGCTGCAATGAAACTCACAGCAACAATGGACTTTCTCTGTAATGAAAAGAAGGAAGAAAAAATCATTAACATTAAAAATTGTTTTTAAAAAATTGGTAACTTCTATTGTAGGACGAGGGAAAAGCTTTAGAAAGCTTTAGAAAGGTGGTGGTCACCCTGCTGCTGGAGTACAAAGAGATGGGTGGCCGAACAATTTTTTACACTAAATCTGCATTTCAGAGGTTTCAAGAGTTTCTTCTACAACTAGTTAGAAATGAATCAGTTCTGCTTAAAAAAATAACTTTTTCAAAATTAAGTTTCAAAAAGGTCTACCAGTTTTACATTTTATTTGAATTCGGAATGAAGTGAGGGTTTTTTGTGTGTAAATATCCACACCAAAGTCTCCATGCAAAATCACCACTGTTTGGGACACGTGACAAACAAGAAAATACAAATGACACTTGTATCCATACAACACCAAGTTTATTGTGAAGAGGAAGATCAGTATAGATTTTATGTATTGTATGTTAATCTTAAATCATTCCCATGCAACAGAACATAAGACTAATCTTAAATATTTGAGAATAAATGGTTGGCAAACTCAACACACCATTCTGCCTTTTCCCAGGATCACAGATTTACAAAGTGAGGCACTATTATCTTGAACAAGATGACCTCCGTTGTTAATAATGTAACAGGTCTGAAGTCTGTATCTAATTAACCTTTGCTTTCCACCTCTAACCTATCCATCTGGTTGGACTGGTTAATACAATCATGAAAACATATCAACTTTTTCCCTGTGTAACTCCTCAGTCTGCAGGAGAACAACTTGCAAGAAAACAAAATGTTTCACTCACTTTTAGCAATTTCTGAAATACTGCACTCAATTACTTCTAGACAAATTACCTGGGGACAAACATGCCGTGTTAGATGGTATATATAAAGATTCTTGATGAAATACTCTATTTCAGAGGTCATTTTTGCCATCTTCCTGAGGGAATGGGCCAATGATCACTTACAGGTGTTTTTAATAGTACTTTAATTACAACGTAACTTTACCTAATTTGCCACAGTTTAATCACCCTACTGAACATAATTCTATCATTCTAAACAGTAATATAAATAGAAAATAAGTACATAGTAACTCTTAATGCTGGATGGCACAATGCGATCCCTGCAGTTCCTGTCTACAGACACCAACGAACGAACTCACAGCAACCAGCACGTTACCGGTGTAAGATGGCTTTTGTACATGAAGGCAGTAAGATCACAGGTGTTGCAACAGCGATGGAGGGATGAAAGGAGAGCTCTGGTCGCAACCATATAAGACAACAAATCTGTTCTTTGCCTGGGGGTTCATTTGACAGTCTGGAGAAACTAAAACGCCGAGCAGAAGAAACAATGATATTTACGCAGCAAACATACCACAAAAGATAGAAAGTTTTACTGAGCATAAACCACACGAATGGCCTAGGTACAGGGTGCTGCTGTTCTTGGGTTCTGGAGATTTCTGAACACAGAAGACGGAGAGCATCACAACAGGCACGCAGGAAATCTGCAGGGATATTACTGTATTCCTACACACACGAGTTGACAATATAGTGCATTGCGGCGGGTCAGTTGCATGGTTCTACCTGTTTCAGTGCATTAGAAGGCCACAGGTTTATAAGAAAAAAAGAAGCAAAAGACTGGGATGGAAAGCTTGGCTGGACAAGATCACTGGGAGGAGAAATGGAACACAGAGACCAAGAGCAGCAGTATTCTGGCGATGGGATTCAGTGAGGAGGAGTCTCAGTTAATTAATGGCAGTGTAATGTAAAATTAAAAGTAGCAAAGCTTCAGAGGGCAGCATAACAGCCTCCAGGGTTCATGGAAGTCCCTGCACTTTGCATCAACTGCGTTATAACAGATTTACATTATATTGCAGTAAACTGGCTGGGGAGCACTTCTGTGTCACTTCTCTTTGTACCAGATGGAGTCAGAAATGTTTAGCTATATATCAAGGCCTTGTAAGTGTGAAGAGCAGCCAAGATGTGCAGTAGAAGTGATAATTATAAAGCACTGAGAAGGAGAATGGATTTGTCATATTACTTATTGCAAATCAGAATAAAAATATTGCAAATATTCAAAGAGAAGACTAGAGTCTTATTCCACTGCGCGTGCATGCTTCAGTTAAAATGTCCACAGTTGGAACCAGTGATACTGCACCGTACGATGCCACTATCAGATTTCCACACATTCTACCTTCCCAGCTTGCTGAATATCCTTGCCCAATTTTGTGCAGATATGTTCTGAACTTGAAAACGTTGTAATCATCTCTGTGTGCTTCTCCTAAGGAGCTGTTTAAAGAGCTCCTGCCCCACATAGAATTCAGATTGTGTAGCCAGAACTCTTGGCCATCTGCCTTTTATAGTCCTTCTCTTTAAATACAAAGGGAAAAAAGTGGGTTTGCGGCTTTGTTTTGTTTTGTTATGTAATAAAATACTGTTTGAAAAAGAAAACAGCAAAGACTTTTATATGCGTTTGTTGTTTCACCAGAAAGAACCTGTAGTAGCTGAAGAAGAGTGCAATGAGAGAAAGGAATTTTTATAGCTGAAAGGAATGAAGGCATCTGTTACAATCGTTTTGAAGAAAAAAAAAAAAAAAGCTAGGCATATGCAAACCCAATGTCTACTTAACAACTTGTACAAAGAAAGTTTGTGTTAATGATTCAGTTCCACTGCAGATTTTATTAAAGGCATGAGATTCAACAATGTGTGTTCTCTGAGGGAAGATTACTACAAACTAGAATTTCACTGGCTTCATAAATTTCAGTGTAAAAATAATTTTTAAAAAAAGCCTGCAACACACCTGTATATTATAATTTTAGCCTTCTTAAGGATCAAGTAAAGCAGTCTGCTGAATGGCCAACAGTGTTCTGAAGGGCACCTTTAAAAAGAATTTGCTCCTTCACCTGCTCAAGAAAAAAAGTACCAGCACTATTTATCAGTAAGTTCGCCTTGTAAAATCTCTCTTTCTACAGAGAAATGGACTTTGCTGGATTTTTCCTCTGATAAAACAAAATTCAGCACTGGAGATTTCAGGAATTGTAAATGACATTAGGACATGACAAAAAGTATGGAGAGGAACACCAGACCCTAATTTGTCTCAAGCTTTGGGCGTATCAACATTTTTAAACACTTTTAAAGCATACCATTTGGGAGAGAGAAACCAGTATTCACTAGCAACTTAGCACAGAGACAAATCTTATTCCTTTTTAACTTTAAATTCTCATGGATGCAAATAGTCTTTTAACAGAAGAAACTTTCCTCCAATATGAAAACTCTCCATATATAAATCTCAATCTATACGCTTTTCCAGCAAATTTAATATAGATATTTTGGTACCGATGACACTTTTAATTAAAAATATATATTCAGTTATAAACTTTTTTGACACATAGTGTCAGTGTGAAGTAGACAATAATATGTATTTTTAAACAGATTAATAGCTGGAAGACTTGGCAAGGTATATTAGCTTTCATAAGATTTTATTCCATTTACTATAGTATTAGACTAATCTAGCTGACAGTTGCAAGAAGAAAATCACCAAACTTATAAAAACAAGGTCCTATACTAGAAGAGTGATGGGGTTTCTTATTTGCTAATGACATTAAGCCAAAGTAGACGGTCATTCAAGGTAAAAAAAAAATCAGATAAAAGTTGACACACTTTAGATTGGAATACATGCAGTGCAATATCTGTGGCCCTGTTGGGCAGAAAACACACACTAGCACTATATAATTTATTCTCAAACCCTTTTATTCAACCTCCACAATAATATAATTCCAATTTTGGTTTTGGTTATTTCTCAGACATCAGGCTCACTCTGTCTGGTATGCATTTCAAAATCCATAAGCAGCAGACAAGATTCACACCTTTAAGGCTTGAATTTATATTTATGTTGTTAAAATAAGAAATGAAATAAAAACAGGACTGTCATACTACTATTACTGGTTAGGGTGTCATGGAAAATTTAGTGGAAATAAAACATCAACAATAATACTTTTATGGATGTGTATGTATCTGAATTAGGCAGCTTGCTTCCTAATACTATTTCTAACCTTCATATCATCTGTTTTTGGCTAATTACCAGTTGCCAGGATGGTTCATTAGCATTAGATTGGCAAGAACTTGACAGTCTGGGTGAGTATATACTAAGTAATTTTTCTTTCATAATCTGTTAAGAAGCATAGAGAAGACACGACCATTTTTTATAGTTTAATAATGCCTGATAGAATAGTAAGACACAAATGTCTTTGTTTTGTATTCACTTGCCTCATGGGGAGTAAAAAAGGAAATATTTTCAGCATAAGAAGAAAATTTCACGAGTTGTAAATTTTTCTGAGGTATGTAGTAAGCATCTCTATTATGCTTTCCAGCCCAACAGCAATACTATGCCATTTTTAATATATTATATGGCAGAGACTGTCAAAACACTTTACAAGCAGTAATAAATCCTCATCCTAGCAATATTAACAGTAAAAACCCATTTTACAGACACACAAACTGTGGCTGAAAGCAACTTCCCTAAGATAACAAAGCAAATCAATGGAATCTGCTCCCAAAACTTTACTCTAGAACAATGTGTTTTCTCAGGACTGTTATTTCTGTTATTTCCGCCTGCATCGGTACCTGTTAACTGCCAAAACTGAATATGATACTGTGGAAGACTCCAGTAAAGACCTCTTGGAACTTGCAAAGCTCCCCAAACAGTAACTGAAATTAAACATTTTTTCAGAAACGGTTTTTTACCGCACTAAATTTTTCTGTTACTTACACAGACGCGTGATACCACTGTGCTTGGAAGGACAAATGAAAGGTAATGAGTGACATGAGGGTTTTGAGTCTCTTGGATGACAAGATATGCTGTGATACCGTATTACTTTCTCAATATCTACCTTTATGAGTATACTGAAGAACTCAAACACTTTTTTAATGCCTCTGCACATTATACTACATTTATTATAGGTACTGATGCAGGTTTTCAGGCTTTTTACTCAAGTATAATACCAACTG